TCCAATAGAAAGGGGGCAAAATAACCATAGGTTATTGCACAGATTCCTCAGCTTGTGGTCCTTATGATGCTCTTCTTTCAAGATTAGATGAAACCACAAGTCTATGGAAGTTTTTCTGATCATTTCAATAAGCTTTGGCTTTGGTACTTAATAGAGAAATTTACACAAATTGATGCCTCAAACAATATTCTCTGTAGCGTTCTACTTTGAACATCGCTAAAACACACTGGATGGCCTGTAGAAGGCCTGTTGTGGGCTCCGTTCAATGGTGCAATTTCAGTTTTGCTGATGACCCTTCTCTGTCATTTTCTTTCTCCTCAGGAGGGTGGTGTTTAACACTTCCTAGGAAATCAAACATAGAGAAACATCTGGAGGTTTTGATTTCTTCTTAGACAGTTATGAAGGAGGGCATACCTTTAAAGAACTATCTAGTTCTGGAAGTTTGCTTCTTACAAAGACACTTGTCTTCCATTTTCTCTTATGTGTGGCAATAATAAGTGAAAATGTGGCCCAAAGTAGAGGGTGAATGGCAAATGCAAGCAACAGCAGTTAATGTCAAGGTATTTAAGAACCAAAGGTTAATTTGAGAAGGACAATAGAAAGGAAAATGACACTGTGAAATACTGATTGTTCAGACTGCATTATGAAGAAACAGAGTTCCTTTTTTGTTTTGTTTCCTGAAAGGAATCCTGGACAGTTAGAAGACATAGGCCTAAATGGAATTTAAATGACACCATAATGAAAATTTTACACATTTTGAGTTCTATTTTACTCTAAATCAAATAGGCATCTCACGTGCTGAAAATGTGCAGCATTCACACAGAATCACACAAAAAAGGAATGCCTTCAAATGAAAAAGCACTAAAGGCTGTTATTTATCTGGAGGTAGTAATAAGTAGCATGATTAAATCTGTTCTTATGGTATTTCTAGCTCACCTGCCAAACCCCTGAATTTGTCAAGGGTTCAAGCCTTCAAACTCACAGTTTAGCTGCCAGGAATCCTACCATTCATCCCATTTTTCAGAGTGGTTCAAGGGAACAATACGCATTTTAGTCTGTGCGGATTGCAGCCAAACAGGCTACTGCTGAGTTTTCACTTACAACCTTGAATTTGGAAGAGCAAATACAATTTAGCATCAAGCATTAGCTTCCATTTTGTTATACATCTATATAAACATAAAGTATTTGCAGTGACTCTCTTTTGTACTTAGTCTGTACAACTGGGGACAGAAACTCATTCAGCACTCAGATCATTTACATATTCCTTGTTTTAAAAGGAACATTCAGGACCCTTTAGGTGTCTTAAAAGACAGCAAAGGACATGTAAATAAAACAAATAGCCTAGTTGCAAGAAAAATAGTTGTCTGTACTTCACTACAAGTTAATAGAATTTATATGGGTTCTTACTGGACCCTTTGAAAAAGGGTTGTGCATTTCATCAGGTATTAATTTTGTTAGACTCTTATGGTATTTCTCCTACTTTTGTCAGTAAATTAGTATTAATTTACATGAAAAAAGCAGATCAAAAGAAACATTAGATTCTGGCATGTCATGTGTGAAATATGAACATAGGAGATTTTTTTAACATTTTATTGGTAGCAAATAACTGAAAATACTAATTTAGAACCCTTTTGTGTTGCTGATGAAGAAAGGTCTTCAACGTCTAGTTCTGGCTGGTCAAGAAATACATCTGATTAATGCTTTTTCTGCAACAGCATGTCTCTATAATTAGATTTTTATTGCAAATGTTGTCAGAAAATACATATAAATTCACTTTTCATACACATAGGCAGGATTAAAATGTCTGAGTAATCAGATTTCTTTCTAGAAAACCCTGATTATAAAAACATTAAATGAAATCAACCATTGAAAGAACAAAAAAGTATATGCAGAGTAAATTAAGGAAAATCTGAATGTATCTGCATTTCAATTAACTATAGCAATTAACATGAACACATATCCAAATGCTCTTTACCGTGACTCTTTAGTATGTATTACCAATAATGGATGAACGAATTACTTTCATGCAGAACACCTACTTGAATACATATTTCAAAAAGAATAGAAAAGAACCCTATTATATTTCTATCTCTTTCCAAAATCCAGATTGGTTTCTAGAAACCTTGTGCCTTGAGAAAACCAGAAATATCAAGTCCCATCCTGTTTCTAAATATATCTCGAAAAATTTCTAGAAAATGGAGAGGATCTATCTTTCTCTCTGTCTATCTATCTATCCATCTATCTATCAATGTTAAATAATCAAGGTTAGAACTGGTACCTTATTGTTTACACCCTTTGTTCCTTGTAGCTGAAGAAAAAAGTTATAAGCACAGTACTAAATAGCTTTGAAGAACAGCTTGAAATTTTTGTGAGAGTTTGTCAATCAACTCTGAATCCTGTTTTAAAGTTTAGTATGATGACTAACAGCATTTTTCTTAAACTGTTTGAAACTTCATGTGCTTAAAAATCCAGGTGAAATTGAAGATGCTTTTTATTCAGAAAAAAAAATTTCTCAAAACAATAAATGCTTGATTTTGCTCTTCCAGGCACCTACCAGTTCAGCTCTCCTGAATCAGCACCTCCTGGGACTCCTCTTGGCAGAATTAAAGCCAATGACCCTGATGTGGGAGAAAATGCAGAGATTGAGTATAGCATCTCCAGTGGGGATGGATCAGACATGTTTGATATCATCACTGACAAGGACACACAGGAAGGGATTATAACTGTCAAAAAGGTTTATTTTTTTCTCCCTCTCTTTTATATGTACTTAGCTCTCCAGGTGTTACGGTTATTTTTCTCTTTCCTGGGGAAGGGAGGGCAGATCTCACAAGGGGTCAGGCTGCCAAGGAGCTGTTGTATTAGTTTTGCTCTTCTCTTTCTTCAGCAGATATCTGTTATTTTCAAGTCTCAAGGGAAATTTACTGGCATGTCACTTCACATAAAGCAATATTTCAGTGGCTGCTGTCTGTTCAATATATAGTCTCACACACAGTACTTTCAAATTAAGGCTGTGAAAACCTAGAGAGATTCAGTTCATGGTGGGGTTTGTCAGCTGATTGCTGTGGTAAAGCTCACAAGGGTGGGATGCTTACCCGAAGTTTGATGAACTTACACCTCAAAGGCTAAACTCTCCCTCTCTAAACTGTCCAACAGACAGTTATCTCCAGTACCTAAAATCTGTCATGGTTTAAGTCCAACCTTGATGAAACTTCAGTTGTTATGTGTTATGTAAATGAAAGCCCAAAGAGCAAAACTATTGACAGAAATTTAACTCCCACAGACAGGAGGTGTTCAGTCATCTCCAGGAGAGCAGGGCCCATCACACATAATGGTTACTTGGGAAGACAAACATCATGGCTCCAAACATCCCCCCACTTCCTTCTTCTTACTCCCACTTTATATACTGAGCATGATGTCATAGGGTATAGAATCTTTGGTTGGTTTGGGTCACCTCTCCAAGATGTATCTCCTCCCAATCTCCCATGCACCCCCAGCCTCCTCAGCAGTGTGGCGGAATGAAAAGCAGGAAAGGCCTTGGCTCTGTGTAAGCTCTGCTCAGCAATAACAAAAACATCCCTGTGTTATCAACTCTGTGTTCAGCACAAATCCCAAACAGTCCCAAGCTAGCCACTGTGAAGAAAATTAACTCTACTCCAGCCAAAATCAGCCCGGTCACATAGCTTGGAAATCAAGCTTCACAATATTTTTGCTCTGAAACATGGATGTATCCCCATCTCCCATGCACCCCCAGCCTCCTCAGCAGTGTGGCGGAATGAAAAGCAGGAAAGGCCTTGGCTCTGTGTAAGCTCTGCTCAGCAATAACAAAAACATCCCTGTGTTATCAACTCTGTGTTCAGCACAAATCCCAAACAGTCCCAAGCTAGCCACTGTGAAGAAAATTAACTCTACTCCAGCCAAAATCAGCCCGGTCACATAGCTTGGAAATCAAGCTTCACAATATTTTTGCTCTGAAACATGGAGGACAGGGACAGGTCTGGGTTGCTACTGATGCCAAACAGGCAGGGATAGATGGTAAAGGCAGAGCAGTAAACAGAAAGTAAATGGGACAGAGAGCATTTAAGAACTGGGATAATTGTTCTTGTTCCTATTAATGAGACAAATAAGACTTAATAAAACTCCTACTTGTGGACTGAGTAAAACTTCCCTGTTTTCTTTTTTTTTCTTTCTATTTTCATGTAGGTCAAACCCTTCTCCTTTCTCAGAAACCCGAACAAGTAGTAGGCAGAGAGAACATAACTGCCTTGCAACTGTATAACAATCCTTATTTTTCTTATGTCTACAGAAAGACCTGTGATACTCCATCTTCCCCAAGATGCATTAAAATTTAGAGCTTTTGTTCTTAAAAATATTTGCATTTCTAATTCAGCTTTATAAGCTTACATACAATTTTTGTAATGTGACATAATTTTCTTTATTATTGTTATTTGCTCCTCAGCATCTGGATTTTGAAAACAAGGTGTTATATACTTTAAGAGTGGAAGCAACCAACACTCATCCTGATCCTCGTTTTCTTCAGCTGGGGCCATTCAAAGACACAGCTTTGGTCAAAATTTCTGTTGAAGACATTGATGAACCTCCAGTGTTCAGCAGACCCTGGTATTTAATAGACGTAGATGAAGATGCCAGGGAAGGAAGCATTATTGGGCAGGTTGTAGCCCAAGATCCAGACATGACAAAGAATGCAATAAAGTAAGACATCACACGGTATAAAATACTTTAGATGTGGGTCAAGGCTCATGCACAGAGAGTGATGAGAGTACAATGTAATACGAGGCCATTTCAATAATTAAGCGCATGGGGCTGTTGAAAATTGTCAAACAGAGAAATATCTATGGGAGCTTGTGAAGGCAAACACATTTAGAACAATTAGCAGTGCAGAGAATGCTTTTGAAGGACAGGCTATTGGCACCAGGTAAAAAGAAAGGGGAGGACAGCATTTAACTGCCAGCATGTTCTATTACTTTTACCAAACCTTTCATAAAATTATGGTTTTATACCATGTAAAACACTCAAAATGCTGTACTTTTATGCTCCCTGATGCTTAATAGCAGTCGGCCTTCTGTACATAACATTGTCTACCATGTTCCATAGCTTAACTGTTTAATGATCACAGTATATTGAATAAGAAATGATTGCGAGAATGTTATAACAATTAGATGTAAGAGTTCAGCTCTGTGAAATTGCTGTAATTGTTACCCATCTGCTATTATTATCTGCAGTGACAAACACAGCACTTAAATTTGTGTATTTACCGTGCAAGTGATTATGAAACCTGATCTCTGCATTTCAGAACAAGCCTTTTATGTCCTGCAGCAGTGTGCTTTGAGGTAGGAGGTGTGAGAGGAGGAACAAAATAAAATATTTTAAAGTAACCTATGTATAAAACTTCAATTTAACCTGATAGTGACTGGTAACTACTAGGCTAATTAAAAAACACCTGTAAAACAAGTTTCTCCTTGCTGGGTAAGAACGAAGCAAAAACAAGTATCCTAAACCAAGATTCTAAGAACTTTAATCTAAACCAACAAAAATTCCATAGATTTTTCTGGTGATTTTTCTGGTCCTTGTGACATCTCAAAAATATTTTGTTACAAATTGAAACTTACTTATATCTGCAATGTGTGTTCTTTGGTGATAAAGTTCTCTAAGAAAATTAATTTACAAATATCCACTTTTATTTGTTATTCCAGAAAATACTTTATGAACTAATATGTAATTTCAAATATCAATCTACAAACCACCCACATAAATAGTTTGCCCTTTATCCTTCTCACTAGTCTTAAATAGTTTTTTGTTAGTACTTGCAGCATGCAGGCAGCTACAGGAAAGCTTAAGTTAATTGTAAAGAAAACATTCTTGATTAACCACAATTAAAATTAGAAAACTTTTCGAGGTGGCTGTGAGCTAAATCGGAGACTGCAACAGGAGATAGTGATGCTCAGTTGTAATGTATCTTGACAGATATTCTGTGGATCGACACACTGACCTTGACAGAATATTCAACATCTATTCAGGAAATGGATCCTTATTCATCTCAAAGCCACTTGACCGAGAAGAAACTCCCTGGCACAACATCACTGTCATAGCAACTGAAATCAGTAAGTTGAAGATCACTTATCTCAGAGGAATATTAGAACTGAGATAGATTCTGCACAGGCTCTACAGTATCTATGATTTATCTTGTTTCATTAGTTTTTGCCCTTTTTCAGATATTATCCATAGACCGAACATCTTAAATGTACATCTAAAAGTTCAATTTATTACTTGAAGATAGTTATGCCCATTTTTGAAAAGATAATTTGGAATTATCAGTCTCAACAAAACCATGTACAATATATATTAAGCAAGTTAACTGGTTCCCTGAGAATTCACAACAAAAAATTTGATGCTGGTGTGATGCACTGGCTTTATCCTAAGCTAAGTATTTGAGAAAATCCTTGGGGGGGGGGGAAAATATGTCTGCGACATACAAATAATACATTGTCCAAATAACCAGTGTAAACAGGAGAAGAAATTGCACTTTACCTCTACTGCTTTAACTTGTCTCAGAAAATGGCTTCCTTTGAAGTCAAGAATAGAGGAAATTCTTTCTCCTCCATGTCTGGAGCAAATTCTGGGTCTAAGTCTTTCACCTGGATACTTTACTATTCTGTTGGACACTTTCAGATGTGGATATCTCTTGCTTACTTTTTTCCCTGTGCAACAACCATCTAAGGGGAAACAGAGACACTGATTGCAGGGAGCAACTTTTCTCTCGTCCTTCATTCTCCCCATAGATTCCCCAGGAATCTATATGCTTAACAGCCTGGTAGTCAAGTAATATGGAGAGATGAATCCTATCCCCCCTTTTCAGAAAGACTGATGCCTTTTCCTCATAAATGGCTTTTCATTGTTTGGTCAAACATGTTCTCCATTTTCAATATATGTAGTGTGAGAATCATCTCTGGCAGCAGCTTGAGCTTGGAGGTCAATTTTGTGAAGACTGATTGAGGATCACATCTGCATATCTCTTTTTATTGTTTCATTTTTTATGTTTTGGAGAGAAAGACAACTGACTTCGTTTTTTTGTGGGTGTTTGTGTGTGTATTCTTGTAGTTGTTCACCGACACTGTTTAACTGCTTTATTGATTTGAAAAGGTAAATGCTCTTGACAGTTCAACCTCATGAAACAACTTTTGTAATGAATCCTTTACTGTACTGTTGTATGGAATACAACTCAATAATAATTCTGTGACCTCTTTGTAATGCAAATCAATTTAAGTATAGTTTATATTATTTCAAAATTTCTTTACTATAATAGAAAAATTTGTTTTGAATAGAAATAGGCCTTTTATGTATATGGAATGAATGTCAGCAGAAAATTATATACAATTGTTTTAGTATTATCAAGGAAAATGAACATTTCTAATATCTATTGGAAAAATGTATTTGATTGCTTTCACAGACATACCTCTTCATATTGTAATATAAATAATTTTCTTGTTTCAGGTAATCCTAAGCAAAGTAGCCAGATACCTGTCTTCATACGGATTTTAGACATAAATGATCATGCCCCAGAGTTTGCCAACTACTATGAAACATTTGTTTGTGAAAATGCAAAAGCAGGACAGGTAAACCAATACTTATGTTCCTGAAGGACTTATAATGAAACTATCCCCAAATGCCATCATGCAGACATCAACATAGTTTAATTTTAATCGATGCAAACTAAACCAGCCTCTTTATTTCCTACCTTCTACAGAAAATATCAGTTGATTCAAAACAGGGGGATTCAAAAGATGGAGGATAACACTCTACTATAGCATAGGATATAATACAAAATGATACTTTAAGATGGATTTTCATTTCTGATATCAGAAAATATTTTCCAGAAAAAGTTGTGCATAATGCTAAAAGAATTTTTATGCTGTTCAATAATTCCATTTCTTTCTGGATTTTTATCAAAACCTTACTTAACATAGCCATACCTTCAAGTACACAAAGCAGGAAAACCTTTATTATGCCCCAGTAAAGAAGATGTGAAAAAAAAATAACAAAAAAAAAGGGCAATGTAGCTTCTTCCATTGTAAGTTAAAACACAGATTGGAATTGAGTTGAATTTGGTCAAAACTCATGTATATCCCTTTCTAAGCTGTCTCAGCAATTCTGTAAAAATCTAAAAACACAAAACAAATTTTAAGATAAAGTAATAATTTGGATTTGAGTAAGTAGACAGACCAACAGAACTCAGAGCCAGTATATTACAGAAATCTCACAATATTACTGCCACTACAGCATCATTAATTTATGCCAATGCCGGTCAGTCTTTCAGTTTTAAATCTGGTGAAGAAAGATGTTTTTCTGATTTTTAATTCTGAAAGGATTTACCAAGGAACTGGATCTAATAGGGCACCTCGAGATTGTCTTTCAAGAATGGGCCTAAGGCCATGCATAAGCCTACTCTTCACACTGATGAGTATTTGACTGGAAGAAAAAGCTTGGGAACATTATTTTTGCTAGCACAAACCTGAGTGAGTTTCTAGCAGAGAGAGGCCAGGATGGAGCCCTAAAGTCAGCTTAGGTCTGTCCTCATGTCTCACTAGTATTATGCTGTCATCATCCAACCAAAGCTGGATGACTTTATGGAAAGTATGTGGAAAGGACCAGAAAGCATATTTTGTTTTTCCTTAGAACACAGTGATCATACAACATTCAAAGGCTTTTCAAAGATGGGACATGTGGACACAGCAAGGAAACAAGCTCATGTTTTCCCTTGGTTGCTGCCCAGTGTTGTATTTAACATAGTCACAGAGGCTGCACTCAAAGTAGCATAGATCATACCTGAACCTAGAATTTCAGGTTCTGCAGAGCAAGAACATGCTATTTACCAGTTGCTATTCAAATGATGTTTATGAATCATTTAACAGGTACAAAAGGGAAAAAAAAAAAAAGGGGGAAAAGAGGATATAGTAGATTGCTGGAGTTTGCATTCAACTCCTTTTCATTACACCTAATACCAGAATTTAGGCAAATGGGTTAGAAAGACAGAGGGTACTTTGATTAGAAGCACTTGGCTTTGAAGAGACACTTGACCATTATTTTAATTACTTTTTAAAGTAAGTTTTACTATTTTTAATGCAAATTACATACATAGAAGAATATACATATCAAAAGCAGTGATGAATTAAAGCAATGGAAAGAATTATCAGAAAAACTAACATCAGAACATCAGAAAAATTAACAAGGAGCACTTTTCAAAACAATAGAATTTTATGGTCATAACTTTCTGTCTTAACCAGCGACATAAATTGTCATTTAAAAATACAGTTCAAACCTTAGAGAGGGTGTAAAAAGTTCCCTAAACTTTTGGCTATTATACCCATATAGTTTTGGTTTATGGCTTATAAGCTGTTTTTCAAGGTGGAGTATCTTCAGATAATATTAGCCATTAAATTCATACAGGTGTCATAGAAACTAATATTTTTGTGCAATAATGTGTCATCACACAAGATGAAATTGAGGCAAATAAATCTTAAAATCTTAGTATAATGACTGATAGAAAAATGAGTCATGTATTTTAATTGCATAACATAAAGGTTCCAAAGCTTACAAATGAAGATTTTATTGAAAAAAATCATGTGCAATTTTATGAATCGGCAAACACAGGTTTTGTCATATATTTGAAGAAGTTCAACCCAGGCATACTGCTTGTCAGTTTCTTTAACCCAGTTTCCATCTAGTCTAGCATAGTTGATGAAATACCCATTAATGTATGAAATTTCATTTACCTTTCTGGTAAATTCTATGCTTTCCTAACAACACAGATGACAGAGACCAATTAGATAGGCTTATTTTTATTTAGACCTCCTGAATATCTATTTTGCACATGTAATTTAAGCAATTATTTTTCCTCATTGAAAAAAATCCACAAAAATACTAGAAGGTCAGAGTGCATCAAGTGTAGCTGCAGAAGTATGAGAGATCCAGACTGTTCGACTGTTGTGAACAGTTTGGTTCCTCAAGACAGGCACCTGAGTTCATATCTAGACATTTACACATACTTGACTTAGACTTTCAGAAAACAGACTACCTTCAGTACATGAGACTACTTTTATTTTGGTGCTTAAAAATTGCAACGAATATAGAAAAAAACTTGAATATTTTGGCTAAGGGTACTAAGCTCCAGTGTGGCTCATGTCTAGCAGTCCCCCTATAATAAAACATAAAGAATCATGTGTTCATTTAGTACTACTCCACCTTATTTTAAAGATCACTTAAAGCAGCTCTTATTAGAATCATTATTGCTTCTTGTCACATCACAGCACTGCTTCTTTATCTGGCATCCATAGCAGAAGAGCCAGGCTGAGACAATAAATATATTTAGTTGGTGGTTTTGGGTTTTTTTTTTTAAGCCAGGACCAGTTATTAATCACATTGCTCTCTAAATCTCAGGTGCAACAAGAAGCAATCAGAATGATCAGATATTGCTCTCTGCCACCAAGCAACATTACTCATTCTCAACATTAGCTGATATTAGAGGCTGCACACATTGTGTTTTTTAAATAGCCTTAGGAGGGCCAGAGGAAAGAAAATCCTACAGAACCTCCCCTCCTCTTTTTTCTCCAAATAACAATGGTATTACTGGGGAGAAACATTATTACTAAAGGTTCATAAAAAACTATGCTCATTGGGCTGGAACAGATTTGTCACCATGTGAATCTCATTCCACTGACTAATACACAGGCTAAAGAAAACTATGAAGCAGCCTTCCTCTTGCGCAATTTAGAAATCCCTAATCCTTTAATGGCATGCTGGAGCCCCAGGGACTGTTGTGGGGAAGGCTCTGGTACAAGTTCTCTCATGCCCTTGTCACGGGAATTAATTGGGTCTTTTTAGTTGGATTAGAGGATGAGTCCTCTCCATGGAAACAGGAAGATTTACTTGAGAAGGAGACTGATTTAACTGAACAATTTGTTGGTAACAATTTAGCTAATTTAAACACCCATCAATAATAATATTTAAGAAAATAACCAGGGTTGCTTTTTTTTTTCACTAGTGCTATTTTCTTTCCTGCCATTCAGGGGCTCTCAGGCATCAGAATGGAGAAAGAATTTGTTTCCTCTTTCAGAGAGCTGGCTGATTATTCTTTTCATTACTCTCCATACCCTCCTTCACTTTTTCAGATGAAGAAGATAGTGATCACTTTTTCTCATGTGGCCATTGCTAATTATCAGTCACAACTTGTTTACACATTGTAGCTGCATTCTCTAGGTAGGCACCTATTGGCTTGAATTAGTGAGACCCATGCTAACAGTTTGTCTCTCTTTTGAAGTAAGAATTGAAGTTCAAATGAGAATTTTCCAACTTCTGATAAATATTCAGTCCTGCTTTAAAACTGCCAACACATTTGTGGAACAGAGCCAAGATCTGAAAACCAAACTGCTTTGCATTACTGAACACAAAGCTTTGTTAAGTGGCAGGCATCTATTCAAGCTTGCACACGTCACGGAGGCTGCTTTCTGCAGTTAGCACCATACTACACCTGTGTGGTGCTAGTTAGCATACACCTGTATCCTAACTAGCCTAGAATTGCATCTGAACATGTGTGATCATTCAAGCTGCCTGATGGCAACGTGGGCATCCATTGACAGCTGTGATGATTTTGAAACACTTCTATGAACCCGTCATTACTTCACTCCTAGAGAAATGGGGCCACTTCAAAGTTTTCTACATAATCTCCATCCCACACATTTACACTGTGGGGTTAGTAATGCATTCAAGATTAGTTAGTGATTGACCCTACCAGATCATACAGGGGGCAAGAGAAGAAAGGACAGAATAAACACCAAGTTGTTCTTCACAGAATAGTCAGGGTTGACCCTGCACAGGACATCCCTGAGAATCACACCATGTGCCTGAGAGAACTCATCAAATGCTTCTGGAACTCTGTCAGGCTTGGTCCTGTGGCCACTTCCCTGGGGAGCCTGTTCTAGTTCCCAATCACTTTCTGAGTGAAGATCCATTTTCTAACATCTAACACAAACCTCCCCTCACACAGCTTCATGCCATTTCCTTGGGTCCTGTCACTGGTTACCAGAAAGAAGAGATCTGTGCCTGCCCCTCCACTTACCCTCATGAGGAAGCTGAATATAGCAATGAGGTCTTCCTTCAGTCTACTCTTCTCCAGGCTGCACAAACTAAGTGACATTAGCTGCTCCTCATATGGCATGACAAGGTCCATTCTTCCACCATTCCTCCACAGCATTTGCACACCGCTATGTTATCATGATTGTCAAAAGCACAGTCTTTGTCTGCAATAAACTATCAAAAAAAATATTGTGACAAAGTGGTGAGACCTTTCCAGCTTCCTTCAGAAGTACTTGGAGCACAGAAAAAGTTTAATAACTTTCAAGAATGACAAAGCCAGTGCTCTGAGGTACAGAATTTGTTCTATTCTCCTATACCAGTTCTGAAAAATGTCAGACAAAAATAAACATTAAAATTTCCTAAATATTCTTTTCTCAAGGGCCTAGTGATATGTTTTAAGACTAATCTCAGAAGCGGCTGAAAGTAGATGACATTTGAGAAATTTCTCTGTTGTACAATTACCTGGTTTAACTAAAAGCATGAT